ACAACACTAGCTACACTTATTACTGAAACATTTATTTTTGTATAACATCTACTAAAGTTCTTCTTGAGAGAAATGTTAACATTTTACGTCACCATTATGGAGAACAGAGTTTGCTTTAGTTGGGCTCTAAGCCCTAACATTTTCATGATTAAAATAATTTGGCTGCTGCAATTGTTAAGAACTTTGATTAATAAGCTCTTTTTAATGTGGTAAGCCAGCCAAAAACCTATATAAGATCTGGTGATGTTTATGTTGCTATTAAATGGCAGAATCTGTTCTAATATAATTTACTGCTCCTATTTAATGTTTAATCTATTGTTTCACATCATTTGTGGCAATGATTTCTGAAAGTTTTTAAGAATGTCTTCGACAAAAACACTGCTCTATGATGTAATTTGCACTCAAACAGACATCAATCATCAGCGTATAAACCTCAATAATGGTGACAACTAACAAAATTAACAGTTTAACTCACAAACAGGCAACTGATAGTCTAAACATAAACAACAGCAGAATAAAACGCAAATAAAGAAAACTGTAAAACCATTATACTACATTTATTCATGACGCAATGCATGCTGGGATATTTGTACTGTGGCACAACCAGCATGCATTGCAGCATGAAACATTTGAATTGTTACTATTGTTGAGGTACAAGGTCTGATTTATGAGGTCTGAGTGTGTCTTATATCGGAAATGTTTTTGTATGTTATTTTTAACTGTAAAGTAATTACATCTTTTCTGTTTTCACTTATTAATTAAATGAATATCTGCAACTAAGCATACAAATTATTGCATGAGGCTCTTCATCCAGACATATACCATAACACTCATTCAAACAATTTTCAGACAACTAGATTCATTTATCTATTGACTTTCCCACTTTATTGTTATAGTACAAATATTTTGTAAACTCTGTATTACAGCAATTGGAAAGCCTAATTAAATGAGATCAAGGGTGAACAGCCCAACTAAATCAGCCCCTCACTCCATTACAGTGACACAAAAAAACACCTAAATTTCTGTTGGCTCTCAATGAGAATAGTAGGGAAGTCCAAGCAGTCAGCAATAAGTGTATCTGATGTTGTTTGTGGAGACTGAAGGTGTTTTATTGATTTTATTTAATGTTGTAACTCAAGTCACTGTTTGCGTTTGTTGTTTCTTTCCTTCAGTACTTGAGATGATTAACAGCAGGTGTTCATCAGTGTCTGAATTCACTCATTAGCATTCATTAACTCTGTCAGGTGAACTATATTGGTGAACTAGTTGATGGAATAGTGAACAAGGGCACAAAATGTGATTTCAAAAACAGACTTCAAAACGTCAAATCTAAACTCTATTAGCTCACAGTTTTCTGCAGTTGGTTACTTTCTCAAAAAACAAAAATGTTACCCAGAATGCACTGTTTTTAACAGAATATTACTGTTTTAGTGAAAAAACATTATTTTACCGTATAATCTGACCATTTTTAACAGCAATTTTTTATAGTGTACATAATTACAGAATTTTCCACCATGTCATAGGTTTTACACTGATGTATTTTGTTTAATTTTGTATTTATAACAATTTAATAGTTACAAAACTATAATGAAGTCACAAAATTATTTTTTGATTACTGGAAAGGAATACAATATACTGATGCCCTGTTTCTCTGGGCTTTATTGGTGATAATGATCTTTAATGTTGGACCGTCACTGCCTTACAGACTTAGAAACTGGCCAGACAGTAATGTGTGAATTGTGGAGCAGGTTAAACCAAAAAAAAAAAAAAAAAATCAGTATTTTTTAGTAAGTGTACTTTTTTGTTTTTATTTTTGCGATAATAAAACATATATTTGTAGAGCAACTCATGTTCTGTTGTCATTAATATTTTAATAAACTTAAATTGGTATAACTGTTCGAGATATAAACAAAAGCAAGTGATGACCAATAATTATTTGCTAGAAATAGCAACAGCAGTGGGAAGGGAGGAAAGTTTATGTTAAAAAGTTTGGAAAAACCTGAGGGATAAGTTTGTTTATGCCAAAAGAGGCCATGACAAAAGTGGAGACCAGGTATACTTTTACAATGATGTATATTTGTGGATTGGGCTAAATCTAAAAAAAAAAAAAAAAACATCAGTATTTTTTTTTTTTTTTAGTAAGTGTACTTTTTTTGCTTTTATTCTTGCCGTAATAAAAATATATTTGTAGAGCAACTCATGTTTTCTTGTGATTAACATTGTAATAAACTTTAAATGATAAAACTGTTCGTGATATGAACAAAAGCAAGCCATGCATCAAAGTTTGTTAAAAACAAAAATGGAATGGTATCGTCACAATATTGTTAACAAAAAATTCCAGATCAGAATTCTGACAAAAATATAAATATTTTATAGTTTTAAAATCAAAATCAGGTATTACATATTTTATTCTTAACAAAACAGAAATGTCATCCCATAATTATTTTGAAAATTTGATAAATAAAACATATGTTCCAATGACTCTATGTCTCCTCTACAAAAGGTACAAACGTTACAATCCATATTAAATCTATGTCTGAGGAACTCATTTCAAGGGTAAATATCGTTAATAAATTTAAACTGAACTTCTTTTGCCATTGGTAGAAGTGCAAGAGAGAGAAATCTTGTTCGAATTCGAACCACCTTGTCTTCAGGAAAATCTAAAACAAGGGGTCTTTTCTTAACTTTAGAAGGGAAAATCTGTTTATTATAACTAACATTCTTAAAGTTTTATTATAACAGCTCTGCCCATAAAATTAATACAAAAAATAATAAGATTGCCCAATCTTGGTATCACAGAAGAATAACCCAATTACCCTTTGATCAGCTGAACCAAACCACCAGGAATAGCTTTCAACAAAGACATATACAATTTCTGAGTACAAATAATATGGTATTTTTCACAAAAATCAACATAACTGAGGAAATTTCCAACCCCATCCAAAATTTGTATAATAGACCAAACACGTTTGTCCACACACTCCTGAAAAAACACATATTTCCTCTTAATAAGTAAATACTTATTATTCCACAAAGAACAACTATGTGGCAAAAAAAAAAAAAAAAAAATTGTATATTAACTTCCAATACAGCAATACCTGACTATGAAAAGATTAAAATTTACACTTTAACTTTGATGGCTCAAAATCGCATCTTAATAGATAGTCTATGCCCCCAAAGGAATCAAATAGTTTAGAAAAAAAACTAAACCAGAAAGAATGTTTATGTCGAATGAAGGTTTGAAGCCACTTCAGCTTAAGGAAACCATTCATAACATCAAAATTAATTACATATAATCCTCCCTCATTGATTGGTTTCACTACATCTGATTTCCTAGGATAATGATGCTTATTTATCCATAAAAACTTTATATTGCATTTGATTCTGATTTTTAATGCACCTATTAGCTATACTTAAAGAAAAAGCAGGGTAAATCATCCTGGAAAGTGCTTCTGACTTTTTGTAAAACAGTTCTACCAAAAATAGATTGATCCCACAAATTTTGTATTTTGTTCTACTTTTTATCATATTACCAATCAGATTATTCCCTTACTTTAGGGTCTTTAGAAATAACAACACCCTTTAACCTAAATTTTAACTGGAATATTGAACAGTTGTTTGGAGTGCCATCAGCTTACTTTTTTCTTTTTTTATTCAATTGCAGACCAGAAGCATTTGAAAAATGAGACACCAGAATAATGGCAACTGGAATCTGCTCTGCATTACTGAGAAACAGGGTGGTATCATATAGTTGACTTATTATTATTTGACTCCCTAAAGCATTCAAAGGTCTGATAACATACAGTGCTAACAATTCAACTACTAAAATAAAATAAATATGGACTTGTCGGATCCCCTTGTCTAATCCCCTTGTCTTGTGTCTTTATACAGCATTTCTATTATGTTAACAAATTTATTACCAAAACCAAAAAATTTCAATGTATGTAAAATAAATTTGTGTTCTACAGTATCAAATGCCTTGTAGATGTCGAGAAATAAAACAAACCCATCCTCTTTAATTAAATGTCCATAATTAATTAGATCTAAAAAGTCTAATGTTGTTCTGAATTAGCCTTCCTTTAATAAAACCACACTGTTAAAAATTGTCCCGTTAAAAAACAGTAAAATACTGGCAGCTGCAGTTGCCAGCAATGTACTGTTATTTTACAGTATATTGCTGTAAAAATACATGGACTACATTGATTTACATAATACTCAAGTGAACTCATTTTGCTCACTGAAAGCAACTGCCTCAACTTGGTCAACTGCTGAATGAGTTTATGAAGTAATGTGCTATATATGCTTAGAAGCATACTTATAATGATAACTTATTTTAGTTAATTAGAAAAGTTCGGTTTAACTCTAATGTCTTATTTTTCACAACAGCACACATTCATGTAAATCTGGAATCACCAGAGAGATTCTGACTGCATCAGCAACTAAACAGCCGCTATCTTTAAATAGAGAAACATGCAGAATAACATCAGCAGTTCATTGTTCATCTTTAACTCATACACTGGCTCTACTCTCCTCCACAACGGTGACAGACAGAAGAAATTAGCTTTAGGTTTTACAGTAAAATACTGTTTTTTCCTTGATTTAACAGTAATCTACTGGCAGCTGTGGTTGCCAGCAATCTACTGTTTTTTACAGTCTATTTCCGTGGTGTAAATTAACAGTATATTACTGTTAAAATACATTTTTACACTGTGTTTTTACCTCTCACACCTTTAACCCTTTAAACCTGAAAGATTATGTGCATTTTAGTTCACTTGCATTTACATTGATTAAACTCTGATGTGATATGATGGGGTGACCTGTGCCTCGACCCCCACAAACTGATAGGTGTGAACTAAATGACCCTTTTACAATCTCAATGGGTATTAGCAAAACAACAGCTGAAACATCTGAAGAGGGTCCTGCTGAGCTTCGTGAACAGAATGGTTTGTTTGATGCTAATATAAAGTACTGTCTCACAGACAGTACTTTGAGTTAAGTTACTTGAAGACCGACGGGTTAACATCACTGCTGAGGAACTGCACTATTCATTGTCTTCAATAAAGTCTTCTCTCCATAAGAACTTTGGTCAGCTTACTGATTTTATGTATTAGAGTCATCTGATACATTGGCGAGCCACCCAAGAACGGTTAAGCCAAATACAGCAAAATCTAACAATTTGGCGAGCCAGCCAGGAGAGACTGAAAAGAGGAAAACTCATCAACTGCAACAAGAAATGAACTGAAGAATCTTGGAGAATCTACAGTTAAAGCTGAAGATAAACGGATTTTGTTTGTGGACGAGTCCTGGATCTACATATTGTATCTGTGGACACACTTTATTTTAATCAACTGGATCTCATCTCAAAGATCCTAGTTTGGTGAGTGAAACTTATCAGCTCTCTTAAAGAACCCTTAAAAGATACATCTTTTATAAGTAACCATTAAAGTAAGCAGATCGACCTGTATATGTAGTGCAGTAATAAACTACAGTGATAGTATTGCTGAAATTTCAGGCTTTTTCTCAATATTTGCAGAAATTGTTAAAGAAACAATTTGGTCCATTTATCAAAAGATTTTGAAAGAGCAGTGGAAATTTTAGGCTTAGTCCATTCTCAGGGTACTTGTAGGAATTATTTAAACAATTTGGTCCTTTCTCATGGAGATTGTAGGAATTGTTGAAAATAATTTGGTCCATTTCCCCAGGGGACTGTAGGAGCCGTAAAATAGTTTGGGACTGATGTTGCTGCAAGAATTAGGAATTCTTGACTGGGTGCTAATTCAGTAGCCACTATTTTAATTTTGAAGGTAACAGAGCCTTCTGTGATAGAATTCTTAAAACATTGTAGGTTTGGTTCGTTTTCTAGAGTTTGCATGAACTGTTAAATAATCATTCTGGTCCAATCACTATATGCAGAAGCAGAGCTTGGTCCATTCTCAGCTGTGTTTGTAGAGATTGAAAAATAACAGTTTAGCTTATTTGTCCAAAGATGGTTATGAGCCATATAAAGCAAACATAAATAGTTTGCGACTGATATTGCTGCGAGAATTAGGAATTCTTGACTGTGGGCTTATTCAGTAGCCAGTATTGGAATTTTGAAAATTCTAACTGTGTTAAAATATGATGGCATGAAACTGTAATCTGTTTGCCTTAGGTTTAAGGATACAGTAAGATTTAAGTACATTGTATTAGGGACAAATCCTAAAGAAAGTTACTTAGCCTTCTAAGATAATGCTCAGAAAGAATTGTTATTAGACAGAAGCTTTCAGACAATTTTAGGCTTGATTCTTGCTTTGAAGATTGTAGAAACTGTGAAAAAATAATTCTGGTCAAATCACTAAGAATGCAGAAGCAAAGCTTGACACATTCTCTGTTGGGATTGTAGAGATTGTAAAAGTAATAGTTTAATACATTTGTTCAAAGATTGTTAGAAGCCAAATAAGATTTGGGACTGAAAGAACGAAAGTGCTAATTTAATAGCCACTATTTTAGCTTTGAAACAAATGTTGAATCTGTCTATGTATTTGTAATGGTTTAACAGACTGCTGTGAATTTAAATTGGAATAAGCACCTTTGATAGCTCTAACACCTTTTGTTCTGTTTCACACCTCTGAGGGCACTGTCCTGTACTTCCCATGGCTGAGTCTGCAAGGAACTATGCTAATGGAGCTACCCTGAGAACAACATCAGAAAAGAATGGAACAGAACCTCCATGTGTTACCATTGATCAGATGTTGGAAAATCTGAATGAATATTTGGACAAAAGGCTGGGACTGAGGAAGTGTCGTGATGACGTGTGCAAGAAGTACAGCATCAAGCACTCAGAGAGTGGATTATGGGCATTGCCGGACATTAAAAGGGCTTATGGAAAGACACAGCGCTTATGCACAACCACCAAGAAGGATGGATTGTCTGTGATTTTGGTTAAGCAAATTCTTCAACATGAGCATAAGTGTAAGATTGACAGATTGGAACGTGAGAACAAAGCGGAGAAAGCTAAAGTTCGAGCACTGGCTGAACAATTGCAAAACTTAAAGAAGGATAAAGAAAGACTGGAAAAGGAAAACAACAAGCTATTGACTTTGATCTCTAAACAGCTGGAATCAAGATCTTCGAGCAGCTTTGTTGACAGTGAGGCTGATCTTTCCATCAACACCTGTGTTCATGACCCAGTGAACTCAAAGATTAGATTAGCTCCTGTGATTGTCAAACACAGAAGGACTAACGTTGAAATTGACAATGAGGAGGGCTATGAAGACAATGGAGAGAGACGAACTCGCACTGTGACAAAAGTGGTAAAGAAGTATGTTCCATACAGGACATACCATCCAGCTACTCCAGAGCAAGTTGACAAATGGACAAAAGAGCTGCCAGATGTATACAAACAACCACGAAAGGTTTGGCAGTTTCTTCAACGACTGCAGAAAATCTACATTTTACATCCACTAGACGGTGTGATGATTCTTAATGTCACCCTAAGAGAAAGTGACCAAAAGAGACTCACAGAAAGTGTTGAAAGAAGGATTGGTGAATCACAAGAAAACATAGAGGATGGATGGGAAGCCATAAAAAACTTCTTGTTTGAACTGAAACCTGCAGAGGTCAATTGGGCAAGAATTACCTCATGCATGCAGAAAACTGGAGAAAGTGTTGCAGAGTTTGAAGAACGCTTCAGACAAATATGGACGGAACATTCTGGTCTGAATACAAGTGAAGATCTTGACAAAGACACTGGAATTCCCCTGAAAACAGCATTTGTCAATGGACTCAATCCTGAGATTTCTAAAGATCTTAAAATCAGGTATGATGACTGGGACAGCACTGTAACAACTTTCATCCAGATTGTTGAATGGTCAGCTAAACTGGAGAGAGCACAAGATGTCAGACTCAGATCTTTGCAATCGGAAAGTTTGTTTTACAAGAACAGAAGAATTGAGGATGAGCAAAAAGAACGTGAGTATATGGGATACTCAAAACTACGAACTAAAGGAAGATGCAGAAATTGCAATGAAGAAGGACACTGGGCCCGTGAGTGCAAGCTCAGTTTAAAACATCAAAGTAAGGATGATGACCACCTGTTCAAGCAGTTTCAGCAGCTAACAATACAACAAAAACAGACTCTGCTAAATGCTGTACAGCCGCAGGGAAACTGAAGAACCTCTCTCTGCAGCACCAGCTAGTGACGTCTTTTCCAGAAGCTGATGAACTGAATGTGTATGCAAACAGTAATATAAAAGCTGACACAGAAGTCTCAACAGATGAAGACAAGTTTGATGTCCTAGTAGATGGTGTTGCCAAACAAGCCGTAAAGGAGAGAGGTGAACATACAGCGGCATTAAGACAGCTTCAGCAAGACCACGGATCAGTCTTAGACAGAAAGCAGACTGCAAATGAAAACTCAACAAAAGAAATGCTGATGGACGGTGCAATAGAACTGCATGATGGCAACCAATGCAGTACAGATGGAAATAGACTATGCCTATTTGAACATGCCCTAAACCAGCCCATGTCCACAGAAAATCTTACATCTGACAGCCTTGTCCAAAACAAAGCAAGACTCAGCCTGGCAGTACATGAGGACATTAATCAAGTTTTGTCACCTCTGAAGAGGGGCCATAGTTTAGATCCCAGAAAATGGGTAAAGATACGACAACCTCAGATATTAACATTAAAATCTAGGAGTGAGAGCTCACATGAGAAGGTTTTAGTATCTGATTCAATAAATAAAGTTCAGGGACTTGATGAATGGATCAATGTGAGTTTGCCTAGAGACGAGGGATAGATGACAGTAGTGTTTTTCAGAGTCCAGATATGGCGGGACTAGAGTTTTTAGGCTCTAGCTTGTCACCTGAGGATGAAGACATAAACCACCACTGATAAACACTGTAGTGTCCTGTCAATATTAAATAGGGACAGTTTCTATAGTTTCTATAGGCAGTTTGACAATTTCTCTAAAATCTTTTTTTGGGCAAGATACGTTTCCCTTTTCTCTTTTGTGTGATTGCAGGTGTTCCGATGTTCCAGAGAATGACCAGAGACACACAACACCAGACACCTAGATGAACACACCTGAACATTCACAGAACACAACCACATCCGCTTCTTCCACAACATCACAACTTCAAATAGAAATGGACTCAGGCATATAAGGAATTGCAAGCTTCACCATGCCTTGTTATTCTGTCACTTTAAGTTATATAGCCTGTATTGCAGATTGCTGTATACATGATTAACTTGTTTTATGATCAAAAATGATCAGAGGAGGGATTGAAAGATTATGTGCATTTTAGTTCACTTGCATTTACATTGATTAAACTCTGATGTGATATGATGGGGTGACCTGTGCCTCGACCCCCACAAACTGATAGGTGTGAACTAAATGACCCTTTTACAATCTCAATGGGTATTAGCAAAACAACAGCTGAAACATCTGAAGAGGGTCCTGCTGAGCTTCGTAAACAGAATGGTTTGTTTGATGCTAATATAAAGTACTGTCTCACAGACAGTACTTTGAGTTAAGTTACTTGAAGACCGACGGGTTAACATCACTGCTGAGGAACTGCACTATTCATTGTCTTCAATAAAGTCTTCTCTCCATAAGAACTTTGGTCAGCTTACTGATTTTATGTATTAGAGTCATCTGATACATTGGCGAGCCACCCAAGAACGGTTAAGCCAAATACAGCAAAATCTAACAAACCCCAGAGCATATACTTCAGTTTTTATTGAAGTGTCCACACTACTGAGTGTTCAAGAAACATGTAGCAAAGCTGAAGTAAATGTATTAATTAACTGACTAATTAAATGATAATTGAGGATTAACAATGAACAAATGAAGAAATACTGAAGGGAAAAAACAAGAACAGAACATACAAAACTTTAGTCACAGCTTTATAATGAAATAACCTGAAGAACAACAAATGATTAAATCATTTAAATGATCAGCGGATGATTAAACAACTCTACAAACATCATCACCAGCTACACTTATTACTTAATACATGTATTTTTGTATAACATCTACTAAAGTTCTTCTTGAGAAAAAGTTAAAGTTTTACGTCACCATCATGGAGAACAGAGTTTGCTTTAGTTGGGCTCTTAGCCCTGTCATTTTTAACAGTTATATATCTTGGCTGCTGCAATTGTTAAGAACTTTGTTTAAAAAGCTCCTTTGTTGAGGCAAGCCAGCCAAAAACCTAAATAAGATCTGGTGATGTTCATGTTGCTATTAAATGGCAGAGTCTGTTCTCATTTAGTGTAATAAAATCTACTGCTCCTATTCAATGTTAAATCTATTGTTTTACATTTTATGTCTATATATGGCAATAATTTCTGGAAGTTTTTAAGAATATCTTGGACAATAACACTGCTCTATGGTGTAAATCGAAGAGACTCAAAGAGACATCAATAATCAGCATATGAACCTCAATAATGGTGACAACTAACAAAATTAACAGTTTAACTCACAAACAGGCAACTAAAAGTCTAAACATAAACAACAGCAGAATCAAACACAAATAAAGAAAACTGTGAGACCATTATACAACATTTATTTATACCGCAATGCATGCTGGGATATTTGTACCGTGCCACTCCCAGCATGAAACATTTGAGATGTTACCATTGTTGAGATACAAGGTCAGATTCATGAGGTCTGAGTGTGTATTTGTCATAACTGAACTGTTTTTGTATGTAATTTCTTAACTGTTAAGTAATTACGGAGGTATATTTTCTGTTTCCACTTCTCATTAATTAAATTAGTACCTGCAACTAAGCATATAATCTATTGCATGAGGTCCTTCTTCCAGATTTATAACAAAACATTTATCAGAACTAATTTCAGACAAATAGATTTCTCTATTTATTGACTTCCCAACCTTATTGCTATAGTACAGATGTTTTGTAAACTCTGTATTACAGCAGTTGGAAAGTTTTATTAAATGAGTTCAAGGGTGAAGAGCCCAACTAAATCAGCCCCTCACTCCATTACGGTGACACAAAAAACACCTTAATTTCTGTTGGATCTCAATGAGAATAGTATGGCAGTCAAATCAGTAAGTTATAAGTGTGTGTCTGCTGTTGTTTGTGGAGTTGTTTAATGATCCTCTGCTGGGACTGAAGCTGTTTTATTTTATTTGATTTTATTTAATGTTGTAACTCAAGTCACTGGTTGTGTTTCTTGTTTATTTTCTTCAGTAATTGTAATTATTAACAGCAGGTGTTCATCAGTGTCTGAATTCACTCATTAGTGTTCATTAAAACTGTCAGGTGAACAATATTAGTTAACTAGTGTATGAAATAGTGAACAAGGACACACAGTGTGATTTCAAACACAGACTTCAAAACATCGAATCTGAACTCTGTTAGCTCACAGTTTTCTGCTGTTGGTTACTTTCTCGAAAACAAAAATGTTACCCAGAAAGCACTGTTTTTAACAGAATATTACTGTTTTAGTGAAAAAACATTATTTTACCGTAGAATCTGACCGTTTTTTAACAGCAATTTTTTACAGTGCAGACTGAGTTACACTTATAACTAGAATCAATCTAAATTTAAATTTATTAACTATTGCATACATAAGAATTTTATAATCCACATTGAGTAATCGGCCTCAAATTCTCAATAATTCTTTATTCCTTGTTTGACTTTAAAATAAGAATAATTAAACCCTGTTTCATAGTTGGAAGTAAAGTATAAGAATTAAAACACTCTTTTAATGCTTCAAATATCAAACATTTTATATCCTGCCAAAAATGTTTGTAGAAGTTAGTAGTTAAACCATCCTGACCAGGAGACTTACCCAAACACATCTTTTTAATAGCTACTTCAAGTTCCTCTAGCTTCAAATCCTCATCACATTTCTTTAAATTTAGTATCTGGGATATAATCTTTAACCTTTTCTAGAAATTTAATAGCATTATTTTCAGAAAATGATGAAGAGTAAATATTACTAGAAAATTTATATATTTCCTTAGATATCAGTTTAGAATTCGGAATTATTGCATCCTTAATAACTAAAGTGTGAATTGCATTACTTCGCTGTGTCCTCTTTTCTAATTGACAAAAATAGGATGTGTTCTTCTCTCCTTCCATCCATTTTCCACGAGACCTTACAAATGCTTCTTGTTCTTTCATTACATACATGCTGTCTAATTTAGCTTGAAGAGTAATTAACTTTTTCACATCTTTAACTTTATCTTGTATGTTACAGGAAGCATTAATTTCCTGAATTATCCTAAATTCTTTTTGCATTATATCACTTCTCTTTTGATCACCAAATCGAATTGAAGTTCCCCTTGTTTTAAATTTAAAGTACCCCATTTTAATTCCATTGGAACTTACAGTTTTTTTTACAATGGCTCTGACACTTTGATCAATACATTTAACAACTTTCCTAAACTCTTAACACAGTTAGCACAACATCGGTGGCCCTTTGGCCTATTATGTTTCTCCTACGGTGACACCTTTTGGCCAAGTTGAAGCCAGCCTCATCAACAGATAATTTCATGTGGGACTTGATTGGCCTCCAACTCCATGACTCTCTAAAAGTAATTAGACACAGTGTAAATGCTTCACTGTACTGTATAACTAATGTATGTACTAATGAACGCCAGGTTTATAGAGTAGTTTACTGCAAAACACATTGTGCATAGTAAAGTAATCACTATATTGCATAACCTTACCTGGACGTATTGCTTTCAAAAACCTCATGAGTCCTCTTTTAGAACATATAGTATGATCATGTGATTTGAAAAACCTCAACACATGAGTGTGGTTTCTAGATGGAAATCAGCTGTGACATATATATATATATATATATATATATATATATATATATATATATATATATATATTTGCGCTGTCAAAATTAGTGCGTCAACGCATGCAATTAATTTTAAATAATTAACGCGTTAAAAAAATTAACGCAATTAATGCAGTTGCAGGTTTTTTTTTACTTCCTGTTGTGGTGGACGTGTGTTTAACATGCAAGAAATGTGGATAAGACCAAGGAAGCACTTTTTGAAGGCAAGTTTCAGTATAAAACAATTAGTCGCATCACCAGGCTCTCCAGAGTTTCATGCAATTTCAGGTGTTTCATTTTAAACTTTCGACTTCTGTTGTAAGCTGATACCGCATGGCGAACAGAAAGAAAATCCTCTGCATTTCGTGACTCGGTGTTCCTTTAAGGTAATAAAATCACTGCTTAGGCTACACTGTAGAATTTTAATAAGAGTATAATCTTAATCGTATTAAAATCGGAGTATTGGTGTCTTATGTGAATGTACTCAGAAAGTCTCTGGTGAAGTTGCGAGCTGTCAAAGACAGGGCATTACTCTGCCTTTCAGCATGAGCCCTCCAAGTTTAGCGTGTTTCCTCAGTAAACGCAACGAAAGCAAATGCTTCGTGTTGTTGTGTCAGAATCCTTGTCAAATACAGTAATACTTTAGGACGCTTAGTTTAAGAAAATTTGATGAACATGATCATGCATGTTGAATCTGAGGTGTGTTTGTCTGTCTGTGTGTCTGTCAGGCCTGTTGAGGGGTGTCAAGGGTGGAGTGAGTGGCGTATCTGAGTAGGGGCGTGTGCGCGCGAGACGAACCTGAAGGACGGTGGGGGTGAGTTGCGCGCGACATAAGCTACCTGAATAGCAAACAGGGATGTGGTGGAGAGGGGTGTGCAATGTTTTTAACGTCCGGTTTGTGAGAAATTATCATTCATTTGCTGGCTTCCGGGAGTCTCTGGGCACTTTTTAGATACTCCTAGTATTAGCAACTGGATGAATGTAAAGGAGGATTAAGCTAAATTGTTTCTAATGTAACAGAAATAAGCTCATTCTATGAATATAAATAATCAACAATAGCAGTTTATTCCTAATTATTAATATTCCGGCTTAAGCTTCAGTCAATTTGGTCAAACAAACATATAATTGTATATGATCATGCTCGCGCGACCGAGCAGATTCCCAGATTATGAATATTAATTATCAACAATAACAAATTATTATTAAACATTAATATTCCGGATCAATTTATTGTTAATTTGACCAAACAAACACAAGCAGAGCCGCCGCTCTTCCGAGCGGACACAGCAATGATCGATTCATATAGAAAAAGGGAATTTAATTGCTACTTCTTGCGAAGTAGATTAATCATTCAAAAGTTTTAAACAACTTATAATAGCTAGGCAGGGGAATCTGTATTTCAGTGACATTTTCTCGTGAGGCAAACAATACAATTCATTTGATTATAATGGGATTTATTGACTAGTCAGACAGATAACGAACAACGCACAAACATACATTAAACACAGAACAAAGGTAAACCACGTGGAGATATCGGGTCTATAGAACGTGTAACAACAAAGAGAAATAGTAAAGCGAGGAAATAGAGATTTCAGATAAAAGAGTGACAAAACTTTCAGTTCCACACGCACCATTAAGGACCACCAAGATTATAAAGACAAAAACACCTTTTTTTGATAAAAGGGGCACAGCTTAATCGCATAACTAAAATCACCTGGACTTTCATGTCTGGAGGTCTCTCTTATGCAAGTCTTTCTTCTGTCGTGATGAAAACTCCTTTTGGATGTCCTTCTTGATGCGT